TTAGCATCAGGATGTGCATGTTCACACCTTAGGGGAGCTGGTTTGTGGGTTAGTGAGAGTGGTGTTCATAGCAATGCACCCTTACCTAGCCATGTAAAACCCCATCTGTGTACTGCAATTAGGGACGGTGCTCTCAGGCGCTCCAGAAATCAGCTCCTTAAGAGCGAATGTCTAGATGCTGCTCCTAAGCCTAATGTGTTAGGACAGAAACCAGGAGTTGGGAATGTCTTACACATGGTGACCTCTGGAACAGGGCCACCAACATGACAGTCCACCCTTGCATTGCCACCATCTGGATACTGTCAGAGCTAATGAGTGGGGATAGCTTAAAAAAGATATTCCTGAGCTCTGGGTTTGTGTTTCCTCCTTGCATCTAAATGCAGCAGGAGCTTGGAGCTCCAGTGCATGGGTCTTGCAGGTGAAGGGGGCCTGGTGGCATTTCTTGCCTCTTGGAGGAGTGTCTCTGCGGTTGCTGAGCTCAGAGCTTGCTGGGAGATGGGAAGATACTGCACAGTAGTATCTCATCCCGTGGAGCAGGGACTTCCTGGTTGGCCCTGTGCTTCTAGTGGCAAATTTAACCTTAGATTTTTGGAACAGTGCTGTTCCATGCACTAGTACACTGTGCATCTGTACCGGACTTCATGTATCAGGAGGAAGGATTGCTGCATCTCCCCACAGGAATCTTCAAAGGCTTAAAAAGGCAGCTAGCAAGGGGCTCCTCCCTGCTGATACTGTGTAGGAGGATTTCACCACAGCCCAGTGTGAATGGAACGTTGCTACCTGTTTCCACGCTCTCCATGTCTGCAGACATGTAGTTACACCAGACATCAGACAAAGAAGAGTTTCCCAACTGCAGATTTGATGCTCAGTTACAGAATGGAGCATGACATCTACTTTACTACACTTTATGGGTTTAACAGCTGTAGCAACCAAGATTTCTAATGACACGTTCAGCAATGCATCACGTAAGGAAACTAATCTGACAGCGCCAGGTCACTGAGCCAACTTACAAGTTTTTAAGTGTGTTTATTCTGCCAAATTTGCTGCCCTATTTACTGGACTAAAGTGAACAATTTGCACTGTGTTCATAAAACTCCGTACTTGCCTCTGTTTTGGCAGCTCAGATTCTTTTTCCCTGTTATGCTGTTATTCTGGGAACCATTTGGTTCTTCTTCTTTCCCCATCCTCTCTGAAAACCCTTTGAAGCATTTCCCACAGCATGTATCCCAAAAGGGGGTACACCATAGGATAGGGAAGAGGAGGGACTGTAGCTGGGAGGAGGTGCTGTGGACACAGGCAGAGATGAGGGATGGAGCAACTGGGAGAAGGGCCCACAGCCGTCTGGAAGATGCTGGTTGCCCAAGGGCAGAGGGAGACTGTGGCTCTGGCTGCTCACTGCCTTTAGGCAGGAATTTGTATCCCAGTCACTTGCAAAGATCGGGATCACTGTTACTTCTCCCTAGACTCAGAATTACAGCTGATAGCAGGAAAGTCAGTCCTAAAAAGCGTGAAACATGAAGACTGTACCCTGGGGCTGGATCCAGGCCCACTTCAGAGCCACCTGAGCAGTAACCTTCTAATCTCTCATCTTGCCAGTGGGCTGTGTGCTTCCACATTTTCCATCCTCACAGCACAGTCATCCACTGCCCAGACACAGGCAGATGGATAGCAAAGGATGGCTCTCGTCAGGGGTAAATGAGCTAGTTCTCCTAGAGGTTCAATACTCACAGATGCATTCTCATTATCCCTGCAGCTCATCCAGGAGTCCAGTCCAGCAAGCTTTAAATCCATTCCCACAAACCCTTTCCGTGGGACCAGTGAAGAACAATTAAGAACAAGTGTTTTGCCAGGTCTAAATTCACTGCAGAGAGTGCAGCACTTCCACTGACAAATACTCAAGGTCTGCAAATCAGAGGAGGCAGAGAATGCCCTAGGTATCCTTTTAAGACAGGGGGGAGATACCTCTTTGTTTTTACAAACATTGATATGAAACAAGGTCTTGTAAACAAATAATGTAATGTGTGACCCTTTTATTAATGTGTTAACCTCTGCAATACAGCAGCATGTGCTGCAGTTTATTTTTACCTTTATTCGTATCTAATGAACATTGCAAATATATTTATCAACAGGTAATTTAATTGCTCTTTTCCAGAAAATACACTGCCCAAAATAATCAGTTATTGTCAAAAGACAGTAATATTTGAGGCAGAAACATGCTGAAAAATATTCTTAAGAGGCAAGACCATTCACTGTTTTAACCTCCAAGTGAGATACTTCCTAACTGGTGTTAGGAAGAAATAACTCTGTCATTTGTGCTCCTACTTCTCTTTGAATTCCCTATTTCTCTTTTTTGTTTTAGAAACACAGGAAAAACATGTCAAGAGAGATCTGGAGCCTCATGTCCGACTCCACACCACCACAGACAACCACATCACATTTTCTTTTCTAGTTCCATCTTGAAATGAGTTAGTTTTATTCCCCCCTCCCTCCCTCCTGCAATGTTCTGAATTCATAATTACCTCATGGGACAAAAAGACGGTCCCATGAGCTTGCCTTGAACCCTATCCTTGTGTCAATGTTATCCTTTAATTTTAAATAGCTCTTTTTATTTCCTGTTATTTATCCCAATGGTGCACTACTAGAGAAAAATAAACAAACAAACTAACCCACCCATATTCCTGCTCAGCTTTAGCTTTGTTGGTGAAACAAGGCAAGTCTGTTAGTGTTTGCTTGGCAAAGAGGAGCTTTTCAGTTTCCTCTTATAAGGTCAGCTCTTCCCTCTGTGTGTGCGCAGGTTTTCATTCATTTTTTTTTCACTGTGTATGACCAGTGTGGCAGATGCATTGGGATTTTTTTCCTTCAGTGCTTTGTAATGCCCTTTCTCCTCAATGCTTTGTAAATACTTTTTTAGCTATACTAGAACTACGTCAACTGTGCTATCCTAGGATAAGCTTTGCCTTTCTTACAGCCCCCTTATACCTAGTCCCAATTATCCTACAGAAAGCAAATACCCCAGGTCCTTTCTGTCCCCTTTTGCTGAAACACTGGAGGGTTTATAGAATAAATTGTAGCTTTTTATTAAACTGATCTTTATTATTTGGTATCTCCAAGTTACGCATTGCTTCCCATCTTAACAGTTCCATCCTCCTCCATGTCCCCAGTGCCTCCCACAGCCCATCACCTGTGTGTTCAGCAGCACGTTGTGTTTCAACGCTATTGCTGCATCCTTGTAAGCGCATCCTTGTACTTTCTGTATGAACTCCTACTCTGGCTGTTTCTGATGGAGCACCATGGTCAAACCCTTCAGCAGAGCCTGGAAATTTTGGGTCTGTGCTGATGGTTGTTCTGCACAAGACAAGGTACCATTGGGGAAACCTGTTGTTATTTCAGCCTGCTTTTCATTGTAGTCCACTTCCCTGCCTTACAAAGTCACAGGATGTTTGGGGTTGGAAGGGACCTCTGGAGATCACCAGGTCCAACCTCCTGCCAAGGCAGGGCCACCTATAGAAGGTTACACAGGAACACATCCATGGTGGGGTTTGCATGTCTCCAGGGACGGAGACTCCACAACCCCCTGGGCAGCCTGTGCCAGGGCTCTGCCACCCTTAGCGTAAAGAAGTTCTTCCTCATGTTGAGGTCATTGCTCCTCATCCTGTTGCTGGCACAACTGAAGAGTCTGGCACCATCCTGTTGGCACCCACCTCTGAGATACTGATCTGCACTGATGAGATGCCCTCTCAGTCTGCTCTTCCCTAACTAACTAGACCCAGCTCCCATAGTGTCTCCTCATAGGTGAAATGCTCCAGATCCCTCATCATCCCTGTGGCTCTCTACTGGACCCTCTCCTGTAGCTCCTTGTCTTTCTTGTCCTGAGGAGCCCAGCACTGGACACAGCACTCCAGATGTGGCCTCTCCAGCGCCGAGTAGAAGGTGAGCATCACCTCCCTCGACCTGCTGCTGCCGCACTCCTCCCGATGCACCCCAGGGTACTGTTGTCCCCCGTAGCAGCAAGGGCACACTGCCGGCTCAGTCAACTTGACATCCACCGACACTCCCAGCTACATTGCTTTCCCTTTCCGCGTGCAGTCCGATATGGGGAGGGGGGGGAGGAGGAGGAGGAGGTGAAAACAGCCACCCCAGACCGAACTCCACCGGGTTCCCGGGCCGAGCTCCCGAACGGTGGTGGGAAGCCTGAGACCCCGATACCTTGAGGGAGGGGAACCGCGATGCTTGAAGGAAACAACACCGCGACCGTTACTGGCGCTGCAACCGCCCCGCCCGCCGGTTACCTCACGGCGGAGAAGGGCGGGGCGCGGCGCGGGGCGGAGATAAAGGGCGGCAGCGGAGCGTGAGGGGTGCGTGCGGGAGGCTGGCGCGGTCACTCGGGGTGCGCGGCGCGGCTGTGCTGACCGGTGAGGAGCGGGGACGGGACGTGGCGTGGCGGCTCCTCGGGTCCTGGCTCCGCTGATAAGCGGGTTCTCCTCGGTACAAGTGGTCGGTGATGCTAAAAGAGGTTGCTGTTGTTTAAAGCGGCGCTTTTCCGCGTGCGGGTCGTGCGTTGCCCGTTACGGCGCGGCAGAGCCCGCTCGCCTCTTCTCTCGGGAGTTGAGCCTTTCCGGCCTCCGATGCTGCTGGGGTCTTTAGGCACCGTGGTGTCACAGAGCCATGCTGTCTGCGGGTTTGTTAGGTGTTGGGGTCAAGTTATACCTCTTATAGGGGAGAAACTGCCGCTGGAGGGTGGTGAAGTGCTTCACTGTGTGCCAGAGGTGAAAGTATCTTGTTCTCATTTCTTTTGCCTCTGATTTGAGGTCTGCATCCTATAGAATGGGTATACACTTGGTATTAAATAGGCAGTGCCTGTCTTTGCTTAAGAGTTAGCTGCTCCCTGGTGAATGAGCATCTTGTGAGCACTTCCCTGGTAGTGGGAAGGCTTGGAGTAGCCTGATCTAGTGGAAGGTGTCCCTGCCTGTGGCAGGGGGTTGGAACTGGAGGAGCTTTGAGGTCCCTTCCAACCCAAACCACTCTGATTCTCTGATCTTCATTTATCAGATGATCTTGTGATGGAAAATATCAGTGGTGAAACAAGAGGCATCCAAATACATTAAAGTCATTAAAGACCTGTTGTCGCTAATATAAGCCTTGTAAAGCAGGCAAATGTGAGTGATTTAGGGCTGGGAGGCTTGATTCTCAGGTTGATAGCCTGAGAATTAAATTCTCCACTGAACTGGAAATGAAATACTACATCTTCCTCCTATAAGGTCAGCTATGTGCAGCATTGTCCTGGGTGAGGATCACCCAGCAGAGCCAAGTGTGCATGGTGTGGTGGGAAGTATAGTGTCCTTTCTGGTTGCTGTGTAGGCTGCATGTGTTGCAGCTGCCAAGGAGGCTACGAATGGGAAGGATAAGAAGGAATGTTTTCAGAGGTGGTAGCTGAAAACACTTGTAGCTTAAGTTGAAAGTCACGGAGGACACTTGTGTTCTTTAGTGATTTGAAGGATTTAATGGAAATACAGTGGGTTTACCATGAAAATGTACTTTAATGTACTTGAAGCACCTGAGGGCAGCTTCTGGCAGGCTGGATGTCAGGTTTATGCTGTGTGGGAGCATTAAGGATTGAGTTTGAAGAACCCCTTGATTTGTCCTGATTTCATCTTGTGAATCACAGGTTTGGTTTTGTGCCTGCTGGTTCTGATGTGACCCACAGCAGCAGAGTTTGTAATGCAGCAGCTCATGTGCAAGGACTGAAGTTACTTCCCCAGGAACATTTTTACCTTACTGTATACTTGATCTTGGATTTGACTCTCTTTGGAGGAAGTGACAGGTCAAATGAGCTGCTCCAAAATTAAAAGCTGGAAGAGGACAGGAATGAAATAACAGCTGCTCTCTGAATCTTGCTTGAGAAGCGTTTCATGTACTGTGCTGTTACATGTTAGGAGGCTATACAGTTGGGCTTTAAACAGTTCTTGGTAGGCAAGAGTTAACTGGCTTAAGTTCGACTAGACTGACCTTGGCAGCTGCAGTCTTCACAAGTACTTGGGGCAGAAGGAGGTGAGGCCTCAGTTTGTAGCTGTCAGGAAGCACCTGGCCACAGCAGAAACCTGTAATGTTAAGTGTATTAATACCAGTAGGAGTTGGGTTAACTGTAGAACATGCGTATCTACATACTTCAAAACACAAGCTTCTTAAGCACAACATCTTGTCAACTGTGACAAGACTCCTTAAAAAGTGCAGAAGTTCAGGTGAGGCTGTGACCAACTCTGGCCAGTGAGGTTCTCAAGTCCTTAGTATAACACTGACATAATACACATGTGGCAGCTCTTAGAAGCTTGTTTTTTTTTCTCCACAAATGAGCAAAAGGTTGGGGCAAATATGAATATTTTCCCAAAGGTAGTTTAAGAAGGGTGAAGAGTTGTATACAAAGACTGCAGTGCAGATTGAATAGTTGTTACCTGACTTTGCAGCTGGAATTCTGTCCAGGATGCTGAACTGCTGTAGCTTTTTGCAGGAGTAAGGTGTACTTGGTCTTTATCCCAAGAGTGGTAGATGCTGGATGGTTGAGAAAGCAAAAATTTCTATGGTAAGGAGGAAATCTCTCTGGCATAATTAAAGTGCTTTCAGTGGGCTAGATGTCTAAGCCCTGAGACTAATAGCTGAGGGTCTTCCAGTTGGAGAGAGCAGTTTGAGCTTTATGTGTAATGGAACAAGTTCAAAGCTTAGCTTTCAGAAGTGTTTTGTACTTACAGCTCCTGTGTCTTCAGCTGGTGCTGCAGATGATCTTAAACTTAGCTAAAGCTTATATGTCATCTTCATTGATAATTTCCCTTTAATACAAACTGCTTTGCTTATGTACTGAAGGCTACCTCACCAAAAAAAGGACAGTGACACATCAGTGTTTTGTCTGCATCAGTAGAGAATCTGTGCATCATTTCAGCTGAAAGGCTTCCTGATAATTATATGTACATAGAATTATTTCTGTTTATTTGTGTCTGTGTGTAGACAGAAAAGCAGAGCCTAGAATATATCTAGGAGTCATACAGAAAAGTCTAAAAAAGGTCTTAACTTGTCTTTTTTTGTATATATTTCACCTCCCTACAGTTTCTTTGGAGAAGAAAAATCTTAAGATGGCAGGCAAAGGAAGTAAGACAGACTGCATGTCATGCAGTGTACTGAACTGGGAGCAGGTCAGCCGTCTTCATGAGGTTCTTACAGAGGTGGTTCCGATCCATGGCCGAGGTAACTTCCCAACACTGAAGATCACTCTGAAGGACATTGTTCAGACAGTTCGGAGTAGGCTGAGTGAAGCAGGCATTGTGGTACATGATGTCCGTCTGAATGGCTCTGCAGCTGGTCATGTCCTAGTCAAGGATAATGGGCTGGGATGCAAAGACCTGGATCTCATTTTTCAAGTTTCTCTTCCAAGTGAGGCAGAGTTTCAGTTAGTTCGAGATGTGGTGTTGCGATCCCTCTTGAATTTCTTGCCAGAAGGAGTAAGCAAGCTGAAAATCAGTTCAGTAACACTGAAGGAAGCCTACATCCAGAAGCTAGTCAAAGTGTACACAGAATCTGACCGTTGGAGCTTGATATCACTTTCTAACAAACATGGTAGGAATGTGGAACTGAAGTTTGTAGACTGTATACGACGACAGTTTGAATTCAGTGTGGACTCCTTCCAAATCATATTAGACTCCCTGCTCTTTTACTATGACTACTCTGAAACCCCCATGTCAGAGCACTTCCATCCAACTGTAATTGGGGAGAGTATGTATGGAGACTTTGAAGCAGCTTTTGATCACCTCCAGAACAAGCTGATAGCTACCAAAAATCCTGAAGAGATCCGTGGTGGTGGGCTTCTTAAGTATAGTAACCTTTTAGTGCGAGACTTCAGGCCCATGGATAAGGATGAGATCAAAACATTAGAGCGCTACATGTGCTCCCGATTCTTCATAGACTTCCCAGACATCCTGGATCAGCAGCGTAAACTAGAGACCTACCTCCAGAACCACTTCTCCAAAGAAGAGAGGAGCAAATATGACTACCTCATGATTCTGCGCAGGGTGGTGAATGAGAGCACAGTCTGTCTCATGGGACATGAACGAAGGCAGACTCTCAACTTGATTTCTCTGCTAGCACTCAAAGTGCTGGCAGAACAAAACATCATCCCTAATGCCACTAATGTTACCTGTTACTACCAGCCAGCACCTTATGTTAGTGATGTAAACTTCAGCAACTACTACCTTGCAAGTGCTCCTGTGCCATACAGCCAGTCGTATCCCACTTGGCTGCCTTGCAATTGATTGCTTGAGTGTTCTTGAATGGAGGCTACTGAAGGCCAAGATGCTGAGTGTATATAGACAAGTAATTGTTAGAGGTTTTTCTAATGGAAACATGACTGCATTGGACTGTCCATTTCCTGGTGTGTGATAGAAATATGCAACCAGGTGACCTGCTATCACTATATATCTGCAATTTCTGAGAAGCCTTATTACCTCTTCATTAGGAGAAGAGAATCGACAGCCAAGTATTAAGAGGATTAGTTAAAAACTCTGTACTAGTTCTGGAAGTGGCTGTTAACATATGATCTAAGTGGAGTATTCAGTAAACTGGGCTAGTTAATCGTAAGATGTCTTGAGCAGAGAAGAAGCCACTTCTGGAGTAGCAGCAAAACTGTTTTCTATTGCCTAACCTCATTATTCTATACTTCCTCAGTTGAAGTTCTGGCCAACTTTCTGTTGAACTAATTGTGCAAGAGTGGCTCGTGTCGTGCTTGGGCTGCTTCTACTTCCTGGCTGTGTAGAACTGGTAACTGTTTGTTTTGTAAAGGACCTAAATGTTGTTTCTCATAGTACCTAGGCATACATGGTCCTGTGTCAAGTTCAAGATTAGTTTATTGGAAGTTGAAGATGGATTAGTAAGTCTGTCTTCAAAGCATAAACTGGCTGAGTTTTTCTTGAGTACATAAATTTGGAAGGTGGCATTTCTAAACATGCACCAAAATACAGCCTAAAACTTGGTAATGTGGGAAGTCCTTGAAATGAGGAATTGAAGCCTTAAATAGAATTGGAACCACAGCTTGATTGGTTGAATCCAGGCTCAAGATAAAGCCTTTCTGAATGCATCCTTCAAAACCATGTTTGTCACAGCTGGAAAGTAGCACAGCTCTTGCATTTAAGTTTGCCCCAACTTTCTTCTTCACAGGTCCACAGCAAGCAAAAAAAGAAAAGCCACCACTAAGTTGCAGGATGATGTGTACTCCTGCCACAGCACAAATTCCTAAAGTGCCTCTAAAATAAAGTTCTTATTGTACAACTTCAGGCAGGTCCTGAAGGCTTGTCTTTCTGCCGGCATTTAGGGGTTGAGCTTTGTGGTTTATCACTGTCAACTGGTTACGGTATGTGATGGTATTTTGAGTGGTTAACGTAAAATTCTTCTTCTTTATTGGTCTTAACCTTCACTTGAAGAGGTATATAAATCCTCAAAAGAGCTCTTCACAGAAGCTGTATGTGTTGAAAGCCTATTCCAGTTTTCAGAATATCCTCTAGAAGAGTATGTACTCCCTTGGAGGGGTAGGGGGCTGACCTTCCTAAAGGATGTGTGCTGAACTTGCTGCTTTGAAACTCCCGTGCTTTATAAGGAAGGTTAAAAATACCCCAGTTAATGTATATAGTGGTATTAAACTGGTATATTAACTGGATGATTTTCACTGAATTGCAATAGTAAAATACATGTAGCAAATGATCTTGAGTTTTCTTTGCTTACCAGAGAAGTAGACTAAAAAGGCAAATATAAGAGCTGTTTAATACGTATTGGTGCAATGTTCAAGAATACCTGTTTGCTAAACCTTTTTTATGACTTCTAGCTGTTTCTGCAAGCTTGTGAGACCAAAGTGGCTGATCAAACAGATGATTTAAGATGAGAGAAGGTAAACCAGACAGGAGGTGAAACACCAAGGTACGGTGGTTGTTCAGGGTGGAAAACAGTAGCAGTGCAGCACTTAAATGGCAGTAAAAAACCCTGCCTGTTCCTTATAGGACCAAAAACTTCTAGTTACATTGCAAGTTCTTTCACTTTTCAGAACTACTTCATAAAGATTGCCTGCTTAGAGCAGTGAGGTTGCTCTTCTGTTCAGACTTCTTAATTTAGTTTAGGAAGTTGGGGAGGGATGTAGCAGAGTATGCTTTAGCTTAATCTTTTTTTTCCAACAGTCTTGTAAGCAACTTCAGTAGCAAATAGACGAATAATTTGGTGTCCTCTGTGTAGTGTTGGGTTTGTTTGGGGTGGGTTTTTTTGTTTTGTTTTGGTTTTGTGTTTTTTTTTTTCTGTTAGAGGCTTCCTGAGTAGCCAGCTAAAGGAGCTAAACTCAAATGTGAACCCAGCCTTTTTTATTAACTGTGGATTGGACTTGGTGTAGCTTACAGACAACACACCTCTCACCCAAGGCTTAGACTATTTGGAAGGCTTTTTTAAAGCTAGCATGATGCCAGTGTTGTCACATGCGTTAAACTTAGTGCAGGCTTACTGCTGGAATGCAAACCTAGGCATGAGTAACTTTGGCATGCAAGGCAATACTTGGCCTAGTATAAAGTGTTGCTAGAAAGAAGGAACTTTTTTTTCTTAGGACTCTGTAATTGCTATCATCCTTTAAATAAGGTGTTTTTAAAGCCAGCCTGAGCTATATCCATGGAAGAAGTAAACCATTGCCTAGAGGCAATGTTTGATTCGCATATCAAATAGCCTAGATTATGTATCTGTCTTGTTGTGGCTGGTTTTTAGAAACTGTTCCTGTACATCAGCTCATGTGGAAGAAGGGGTCAGAGACTCAGGAGTCCTCACAAGCTTCAAACAGACTTGTTTTGCTAGTCTTCAAATGCCTTGGCGGCTGAATGTCTGGCCAGGTGTATCCACTGGAAGAGGAAGTGCTAGAAAAAGGGCTCTAATGAATCCCTACTGAGATAGAGCTATGGAGAATTTAAGCTTTCTGCTATAAAATTCTACTTTTGCTAAGGTAACTTCTTGTTGAGGTCTCTAAGGAAGCTTTATGTTGAGTGGCTGCTTACTGAACAGCTGACTTGGTTTAAGCTTTGCAGTACTGCTGTGCTCCCTGTTTCTGGCATATTAGAAACATAAATGCTTTGTAGCCTGGATGCTAGATGTTAAGTGCTTGAATAGTTAAAACTGTATCTGGAAGCTACACAGCACTGCATTGGCCCTGCTGTATAAGGGATTGCTGGGATATGGTCTCATAGCCTTCAAAATAATCCTGGTTTGGCATGTAAAGCTGGAGTACTCAGTAGCTTTTCATCATTGTGTTGCAACCAGGCTACCCCTTTCTGTTTCAAGTTGTCCTAGCAGCTTTGTGTTGCATGTGGCAGTGGCTTAATTTGGTGTGTGCTAGCGGGTTTGTGTTCAGGTCTATGGTGGTCCCTGTAGCAAGGAGTAACATGAGAATGAGCACTAGGTAAGTTAAAAGTGATGACCCTAGGCCAAGTCTAGGCTGCCTGCTTAATTCAGTCTCCCTTTAGTACTTGATGATGCCTTTGCAAACCTGCTCTTTAGTCTGTAGACTGCTACGCTTATTGCATTCCCTCTGGCAGTGATATCAAAACAAAGCTGTAGTAACACTAGAATGCAAGTCTAGTATCAGTGCATCATTCCTCAGGACTAGGCTTCTGATAAACTAGACAGTGTAGTTTAAAATAGCTATTTTCTTCCTGTAGTTTATAAGCTCTGCTGGGCTAAGCCAGTCTGAGGTTAAGCATCTGTGGTCACTATTTATTGCCAAGCTCCTGCTTAACTTACAGTTTACTGGTATGACTTCTTCATTGTAAGAGATTAATCTTTTTATTTGATAAAGATGCTGCCAAGGAGACCTAGTAGTAGACTGGATGTTAGTCACTTCGGTAAAATCCCTGTGCTGCTGATCCATGGTAGCTCTGAAAAGTTGTAAGGGAAAGCATACTTCATGCTCACTGAGCTCAAGATTGAATTGTTGCTGTGTTTGTCCTTAGCTAGTTCAGTCAATCACTAAGATGGAGGTTGAAGACTCCTGCTTGCTTTCAAGTAACTGTTTTTTTTTAAAGATCCTCACACTTTAACATTCATAATCCTGTCTACAGAACAGTAGGTAGTATTTAAATCTAGTCCAAACACCTGAAGCTTTTTATTGAAACTTAAAGACCCATATCTTGGGATTGAGTTCTGGGGTTAAGCATTTGGTATGCCTTGTGCCTAGGCTTTATGGGCAGATCACTAGAATAACTACTAATGTTGGTAGTGATCTCTGCTTATTGCTATATGAGTGCTTGGGAAAAGGCCTCACAGAAGAGAACTTGGACAAATTGCTTCAATTCTAAGCTGTCAGTGTACTGATGAGACTGTTTTTACTATTCCTCTCAACTCATTCAGTCAGGTTGCCGTAATTGTTGAGTGCAGGAATAAGCAATAAATTGACCATAGTCACTGGCAGCTTGGTCAAATTTGGGTATTGGGAGAGCCAGATGGATTGTTATACTTGTAGTCTTTGCCATCTAAGTCTTAACCATTTGTTAAACTTGAACTATATTTATGTTCTTTAATTTCAATGAAACTAGTTATAAGGTGGGATGCTGGGCTGTAGTTGTAGGAGCTTTGGGGAGAATAGTTGGAGCACTCTGTTTTTTCTCAGAAGGTGATTTGCTGAAGGATCTGGATTGGGCTTGTCTCTGATTGAAATTGCACTTTCTGTTAAAATTTAGAAGGCTTTTTTTTTTTTCTATGTTTATCTTTGTTTTTTAACTATTAAAAGAAGTCAGCTCTGGGAAAATCCTTCTCATACCTCTTTGGAAGAACTTAGTTGGGGTTTTTTGGGTTGGGTTTTTTTTTGGCTTTTTTGTTTGTTTGTTTGTTTTTAAGCTGGCAAAACAAGGTACTAGAAATACTTGGATTTGTGATGAGCCCAAATGTGAGATTGATCACAGTAACTTTGTCTACTGTTTTGCACTGTGGTGTTCACTTTCGATTCTTGGAATTTGGGGTTTGGACCTTGATGATTCTGAAATTCTTGTGCAAATAAACTTATGCTAAACATTGCTTGCCTCAAGTAATTCTTGCATCTAAATTAATGCTGACAAAATATTTGGGGAGCTTATTGGCCTGTGTGTGTAGATATGCTGGGGGGGAAGGAAGAAATAGTGATGGGATACATAGTAATGCTTGGGTTTAGATGTTATTCAAGGTACTCTTTTTCTTCATGAATGTACACATTTGCCTCAGCTTACTGAAGATTAGTCAGTGAAACATCTGTCTTTCACTTGCATTATAGTGGCATATTTTAGTCCATTTTTGCACTGACCATTATCTGACCTCAGTTTGAGTTTAGGACTGCCTCAAAATGTTTTAGGCCTGTTAGTGTCTGGTCTAAGCTAGAGCCTGCCAGCCTGTTCTGTGATGCGCTCCATATACTACTCCAAGTCGGCGGCTCCTTCAGACCTCAACTTGTGAGCCAGGCAGCTGAGACATAAAGTCAGCAGTTGTTCTTCAGGCTAGCTTGCAGGTTGAAAGACTGTGCTTTCGCTGTCTGAAGAACTGGTGCTTCTCCTGGGAGTGTGTGGCAGTCTACTTGCTGTTCCTTCTGCTCTAGGATTGAAAATAACTGTGCTGTTATTTCCTCTCCAGAGCTCAGACAAGCTCTAGCCTCTCAGTTAAGTAATGCTGGAGAAATTCTGGTCTTCAGGGCCTTTTAACACCTGCAGTGGAAACTTCTGTGGAGATCAGCAGAGGCAGTGTGATCTCATGGAAGTAATTGTGAAGCTTGTCTAGTCCTTTTTCAAAGTGTAACTGCTTCTCTCTGAACTTAAATGGAGAGCTGATAATACAGCTGGGCAGCATAAGCCATCTGCTTGTCACCTGAAACTTCTTCACCTCAACTACTGGGTTTATGTCATCATAAAAGCTTCAGGGTTATTTTGGGTAACATCCTTAAGTTTCTAGAATACCAAACTTAGCTTTGCAGGGTCAGATACTGAAACAGAGAAAGAGCTATGCTTAAGCAAGTGGTGGTATGTACTCTTTCAATTCTCTAGGGAATGTACATAATGGTAAAAATTGAGAAGAAGAAGAAAGCTGTTCTTGCTCTTTTGCTGTTGTGTTGGTGAAAATGCAATTACAAGTGTTCTGTCCTGTTGCAGTTCTAGAACCTGGCCTTTTCCATGCTGTGGGAATATGAGCTCAGTCTTGTGATGGGGTGGGAGAGGCATTAGACAAATGTTGTTCTAAATTGTTGCTATTGTTCAGGCAGATGTACTTATTTCCTTCCTTCCATGATGGAGTAGTTAATACTTTTGAAATTGGAGTATTCAGTGTGCCTTTCCGGAGTAGATGCTCCTGTGAGAGAAACAAAGACTTTTCTTTGTATGCCTGCTTATTTTGAATACTGCTTGTTACAAATCAGTATAGTTAGTTCACTAATACACTAAATAATCAAAGTTACTATTTTCAACAATAAAATAGCATTAGTATTTCTCCAGCAACTTAAAATGGAGGTATATCAAAAAGTGTAACACACCACCTCACTGTGGGTGTTAGACATAGTGGTTCTGCTTTACTGTAGTAGCAGTGCTGCAATCTGTTCTGCTTTGTCTCAATGAGAGAAAGATGAGCTCCATATCCTATAAGCAAGACTGCCTGGTGAAGGGAGTAGTTAACCTGCCAAGCCTGAGTAATTTTCCTAGTAGGAAAGAGTTGAGTCATATTGCTGGAAAAAAGAGAGTCTTGCCAAGAACTGTGGAAAGCAGCTGCTAGATCCTAAACTGGTAGTTCACATGTACATTAAGGAAAGCTATACTGCCTTCCCCAGTATTACCCACTGACTCTCAGCTGAAGAGAAGGATTGACCTTAGAGCAGCCCTTCAGTTCTTGAGAGGCCTATAAGAAAGCTGAGGAGAGATTTTTTTAGCAGGGCCTGTTGTGACAGGATGAGGGGTGATGGTTTTAAACTACAAGAGGCGAGATTCAAGCTGAATGTGAGGAAAAAGTTCTTTACAATGAGGGTGGTAAAACTGGCACAGGTTGCCCAGAGAGATGGTGGATACTCCATCCCTGGAGACATTCAAGGCCAGGCTGGATGTGGTTCTGGGCAACCTGATCTAATTGAGGATATTCCTGTTCATTGCAGTGGGGGTGGAAGAGGTGAGTTTTGAAGGTCCCTTCCAACCCAAGTTGTGATATGGTTCTATCCAGCAAGGCAAGTCTTCTGAGTGTGTTGGATTTGTGGCACAGGCTGGTCCCTTTGTGGATGTGCTTCTCACTTCAGAGTTGATCATCCACCTGCAACAATTCTCTTTTCCACCCCCTTTCTCTCTTAAACTGAAAGGTATATTTTGTGCCTCCCAGAAAGGTATTCAGTCTTGCCCTAAAGGTGCTCAATAGTGGCAATTCATCATGTACTTGGAGAACCTGTTAGAATATTTGATCGTGGTCATTACTGAGAAATTCATTTGCATTTCCATATTGGTGTTTGAACTTCATCTTTGACCTGCAGACTGCTGCATCCTTATCAACAAGGCTGAAAAGTTCCAGACTCTCTCCTGTTATCCACTAATCCCTTCAGCTCCTGGATGAACTGTGGAAAATGAGCTTCATGTTGTATATATTGGACTTAGAAGCTGGAAACCTTTTCCTCTGGAATTTTGTGGTTCCTGTTCTTCTCACAACCCAGCACCAGTTGCTAGCCCAATGCTCTACGTACCACAGATAAAAAGTAGTGCTAAGATTGCTTCTCAACCTTTTGATGTCTGTGTCCACAAACTGTGCCTGTGCTTTTTACCATGGCATTGTGGCATGCTAAGTGCTTGTGCTGAGTCAGTTATTTGTGGTGATTTCAAAGTTCATCTGCTGCTTCTCAAAGCAGCCTCTCCCATCTGATGTTGACATCATCTGTGCTCCTGGTTGCCAGATGGAGTATTTTGCACTTGGTGGTATTAGAAAAAAACATTTTGTCCAAATCCTATGGGTAAATAGTTGCAATGTAAATGGACAGAGAAGCTCCTCTTCTTAATTATCTACTGCCTTACTGACTTAAGTGTTGCATGGTGCCTGGAGATGACAGAAGTGCTCACAGGTTTGCATTGTTCTTGCATACAGAAGGGTGCACAAGGTTGTTGTGGGCACTTTGAAACCTGCAGGTGGTTTAAAACCAATGTCAGCACAAAGTACCCAAAGGTACTGAATGCAGGTTATTTTGGGAGTATTTTTTTCCCTCTGTAAATAGGGGTAGAGACAGCAAAGAAAGCTTATATGCTGTCACTGCTTAACAGCCCTTCCTCAGTCCTTTCCTCTGCACCCTCATGTCTAAACCACTGTGGTGACAAGTATCCCTGGGACAGCAGTTCACAACATGACCAAAGCAAGGAGCTCCATGTTTCTACTCTTGCCATCACATCTGTTAGTCATCACAATCATCTGCTTGCCTGTTTTACTGCTCATGTGGGGCTCCCCAAATGTTGTGCAGCCCTGACTAATTGCCAGGACTGATGTAGCTCTCTAGACCTCATGAGCTCCCTTTCACTTTCTTCTCCTGGGCAGCTTTAGTTAACCAGTTTAGACTGGGGGAAAGTAAGTTATTTTTGGGAAGATATCCTGCCGTCAATTCCTTTGCCCAAATTCCATGTGACACCAGTGGGAGTTTGACAATTGCTATGAGGGGTGTGCTAATGGCCTGGCAAACCTGAATGGCTGGGCTTGTGTGTTGCAGCTGCACTGGAGTAAGTTTCTGCATCCCTGTTTGATTGGTGGGAGTAACGTGTGGACGGGGCTCAGCCTCTGGCAACAAATTCATGGAGTTACTCCAGAGAAATGTTGCTCATAAAAAATCCCCCAAACCAGCATCTGTTTTGGAGCAGAGGAAACTTTGAATGTAAAGTAATATTCTAGCTAGGTATGTGCATGCTTTAAATTGATGCTTAGCCTCCTTCCTTGCAGTGCTTCTCTGATAGAGGATTCCTACTTACTGCCATTTCCCATACCAAAAAATGAGCCCTGAAGAGAAGCAGCAGCACAGTTAGTTAACACAGGGACTTCCTGGCAGGGCTAGGAGAAGGTATTTTGGAAGCCTTGCTCTAATGATAGGGTGGGAAGGGAAGGGGATGTGGATACTACTGGAACATGTCAGAAATTGAATAGAAGGATGTGGGTGTTTAAAAAGCCCCACACAGATGAAATAGGGAATGCAGTTTTGAAGTAGAGGTGACCATCTTCTCACAGGCATGTGTGACTTAAAACTGCAACATCATGCCAGCAGAACTTGCAGAGGGACTGTGTTATGCCAGTGTTTAGGATGCTCTACACATGTAATTTGTAAATGCTCAATTGCAATGTAAAATCACAGCGGTACATGTTCTGTTCTGTGTATTGTATCTCCTCAGCAGTTACTGTGTGAACCTTGGCCTTTGTTAGTATAATTTTTGCTGTCTGGTTAGAAATAAAAGATTACTGTAAGGGTGTAATTGCAGCCGTGGTCAGGAGTTTCAGTTGACCAGGACTTCAATTTTGTTTTAATAGCAGTTGAAAACATTGGTTTAGTTGAAACAAGAAAGGAAGTTTCTCTCATAAATAAGACTTCATTAACTAGCAGTGTGCTGTTTGATGGCAGTGGTCTTGCCTTTAACTGTAAAAGCTTGTGAAGTTATGACTTTTAGTTCCGAAACAGAAGCTTTTGCTCTGGAGGCATTTTCTACCTGGTTACTGATTTTACTTACTGCTAATGAAAAATAGATGAGTAGCGAATGGTCTCTGGTTCATCTTGGGGTTCCTTTGACTGACTTGCAGTATTGTAACACCAGCTCATTGTCAGATTTTATGTTCACTGCTGAAACCTCCAGATCCCAGACTTCACTGAAAAGTAGTAGTAGTACTATTATAATGCATTGTGCTATTATACTATATTATAATATTATAGTACTATATATAGTACTATAGTACTATTATAATGCATAATGATCTTGAATAAGAGAAAATCTGCAGGGAAAACAATCTAAACCTCGTTTCTTTATGACAACTGCTCTTGAGGCTGTTTCAGGTGTGCCTGATAGAT